CACTCTCATCATTGGGATCTTGTACCTTTACATGACAGGTCTTGGTTCTCATTTTTTCCCCATGCCCTTGCCCTTCCTTCACCCTCTCAACCCTTCTCTACGTACAAAGATTTTGTTTCCAATTTTTTCTTTTCTCATCTCTTTTCTTTTCCCTCATTTCCTTTCCCCTACCCTTCCCATTTCCCCTACACCTTTAGCCTTTTTCTTCCTAGTCACATTATCAGTTATAAAATTTGGATCTTATTTACACTTTTAGTTTTTCACACTAGAGGAACTATTTGGTATTTACACATGTGTGACTTATTTATTTCACTCAAGAGTATGGCCTCAATCTGCATCCATTTTCCTATGGTGAAAGTGAAGTTCTATTTTGCTTGAGCATCTTTGTAATCCCTCTATGTCTCTAGAGGTCAGTGTGGCTTAAAGAAACTTTGTTGGGTACCATTTATTTCGAGTGACTTTAATAAAAGGTGATAAAAAATGATGGCTCAAGGGAAAAGAAATTAATTCAGAATTACAACCGCTATAAACATTAACATATATAATAATATTGATTTTGGTACCTGGAACTTTTTACTGAGCCCATAGACTTTGACATTCTTCAAAATAATTGTAGTAATTCTTATCTCTTTTACCATTTGAAGTGTTACGAAGTTTTGGTGAAAATGATTTTCCATTCTAGATTCCTTTTAGAAAAGAAAAACTTTTGGGCTTCTCTTCAAGGCTGTTTGAATGGACGCTTATGACTAGTTGTATTCGTTCTCCATGAAGGCACTTTTCATGTTGATGTGGTGTTTAATGAGAGATGAGGCTTTGTGAACTAGCTGGATAGAGACTCACCAGGGGAAAAACAGGACGCTATTGAAAAGCCTGGTATATCCTTCTGATATCTATCAATTTTATTACCTACCACAGCTTTCAAAATTATTTTTCTTGCTTACTCCCTCTTCTTCACCCCTTCTTTTCTTTGTTGGGATGATATAAGAGTGACTTGCTGACAACATTAATAGGTTTGAGGCCATTAATAACAAACCCGAGTGAATTCATCTATTGAAATGCGTCCCAGTGAGCACACAGTTGGATTTAGAAGGGAAGGAACACAGGGGGACTTCAGTGCCAGGCAGTGCTAAGTGAATAAGTACCCTCACCCCTCACAGACTGAATAGTTCTGTTGTTATTCGTTCCCTCTGTTGGGGTTCCATGGGTGATTTCATTTGTATAAAGATGCCATTGGTAAGATTACAAAATCTTATAGCGCATTGCAAAGACTTTAGCAAGGAAGGCTGACCAGAAGCATCAAACATATAGGAGGCAATAAAAAGCAGTAGCTAAAAGTGTGAAGGTTAGGCAAGAGAAAGAAAAAGAAAAACAAAAAATGCGAGTCACAAGCTCCCTAATTCATAGCAGTCCCCCAGTTGGGATCACTTAATGCCACTGGGAGGAGACTTGTGTACCTTGATAGCCCTTAAGGGCATTATCATTATTTGTATCAGTCAATACTGAATAAAACTCTTACTGTGGGGGCAGTGTTCTAATTGCAGGAAGTGCTAAGAGATACTTAGCACTGATTCTGTCCTAAAGCTTAGTTGATGTAAGAAGGAAATATGTCAGAAGAAAAAAGAACACATGTTACTACGGTGTATATGGTACCAGAAATTGTTACAGAAGTTCAGAAGAGGAAGGAATCATGGAGCTGAATTGATCAGGAAAGGAGTCACAAGCCAGTACAGTAGATACTGAAAGGGATACTATTTCTCAAACCCATTCTTTCTTACCTCAGGGCTCTTAGTTTTCCTCACAAGTGTAAGGGTGGCTACATGAATGAGCTGTAGCCCACGGATGACAGCAGCCGCTCTCTGTCATTTTTAGACCTAGTCCATAAAGCTACCTTATACTGGTTCTTCATGCACTCTCTCTTTCTGCAGCCTCTGAAACCCAAGTATTAAAGATGGCGAACCCATGCAAGAGGCCTGGCTTCCCGGTTTCCTGAATCACTCACTGCCTTAAGGAAGACTCCTGACTTCCAGGCACACCCACCTTGGACTGTACAAGAGCCAGAAATAAACCTATGTTTTGTTAAACCACTGAGATGTTGGCATTTCTGCCTCAGCCCCTTGTTAATTAACTGATACAGAGGTTACACTGAAATGGAATTTTGGAGGAATTTAGGACACAGAAAATCGAAGATGCTGAGGGACTCTCTTACAGGAAGAGAGATACGGACAATGCCAAAGGACAGAATGCAACACAAAAGGTTGAAATGGAATATTAAAGAAGGGGATCAGAGAGTTAGGTAATCTCAGTTTATGAAGGCCAAGAAGTTTGGATCTGACTTGATTGCTATGGTGGCGAATGGAAAGATGCAGGGAAATGATGTTATAACTTAGGACGATGAAGGTTTGCTGTTATCTCAGTGATGGTGGAGGGAAATCTGGAAAATTCATCTGACTGCAGTGAGTGGGATGAATGAGCTGTTTGTGAGGTCGGAATGGAGGTGCAGTCTTCCAAGAGACTGAGGGTGAAAATCCGGGCTGGGTGATGGTGTAGGGAATAAAAGCAGAGGCTGAACAAATGAGACATTACAAAGCACAGATGTGGATGACTGCCTTAGGGAGCTCCGAGACAACAGCAGAGGAACATAACATCTAGGTCTGTATATTTGCTTAGAACAGTGAGCGATTGTTGCCATAAGAGCTTGTGACACAAAGCACAGAGAGCATAATGTTTATTATTGTCTTTAAAGAAAGCAAAGTAGTATATAATATGTTCCAGAAAAGTGTCAAAATAGATAGCATAAGAATACCTGCGTTTGACATGCTTATAAATCCATTTTATGTTCCTAGGTTCACAGAAAGACCACATTTCCCAGCTTTCTTTGCAGCAAGTGAAAAACATACGGCTGACCTGTGTCCAAAGGAGTGTGAGTTAAAATATGCCTCTTCTAGGTCTCTCCATAAAACCCATTCTTGACTTCCCAGGCTCTCTTCGGCCGCAGAGTTCCAAACGATGAGCTGCAATCTGGAAGAATCCCAAATCTGAAGTTACCACTTGGGTGAAAGCTTTTCAGAATAAGCATCCAACCATATTGAAATATGAATTGAGGGATAAATTAAAAAATTTTTTTATACTTGGAGTCGAACTAAGGACCTTCAATTTGCAAGGCAGGTGACAGCACCACTGAGCTAAATCCCCAGGCCCCAAAATTAATCTTTACTGTCTTAACCAGTGAAATTTCAGTGTGCATTTATTATAGCAGCATAACCAACCTCTTTCTAACATGTAACAATCATTCAGCACATTTTTATTGAGCATCTAATATGTTTAAGGGATGGGTTAGTCCAAAAACAAACTTTATTCACAATATCTTCTGTTTAAATACCCCTATGATAGTACTGTTTCAGTAGATTTCTATAATCTAGAAATTCACTAAAATCTGAAGTCATCCACTTCCTGTTTATAGTCATCCTCTCAGTTTTTTGTATATTGGTTATAGATTCTGGTGTTTGTGTCAGTTTTTAAAAACAGAGTTGACAGTGTATTTCGACTTTGCCTTTTATTAAATTCCCTTTTGACAAAACTTCTCAAAATATGAGAGTCATAAAATAAAGAAAACTTATAATATCTTGTCTGAGATAGTATTGGGGGTGTTGACAGATACAGTTTAGAGCCTCTTTTATTTCTTCTTTATTTGACAGCCAGCCGACGTCATAGTGCCATAACATCTCCCCACACACACTGTAGATCTGAGCAGGGATAAAAAACCTTAATCACCTTGGGAATTCTTGTTCTGCAACGAGAAGTTAAATAACCCAAACTTTTTATTGAAATGGCTCTGGATCTCTTTTCTTGCTTAGATCTGCTTTCACATTTGAATATTAGAGTTCGATGTGAGCACTCATCAAAGAATAGAATAACTTCCAGTGTACTTTAAGGTCCTCATCATTATTTTCATTTAAGACTAAGTAATGACCAGCTACCAGACTGAGCATGGAAACTACAGATAGATCCATCACTGGAAACAGTTAATGTTAATTAATGTCACTTTGTGCTGTCATTGAAATGAAGTTTGGGATAGGTTGCTAACATATAGCCTAAGGATTTTTTCCCAGTATAACAATTTTATTACTTTTGTAGTAATAGAGATAATATATAAACATTTAAAAATGAAAATGTTACAGAAGGGGATAAGAAAGAAGCATACCCCCAAAACTTGCCAAGAAGAGAGAAATGCTGTTAATATTTTTGGAGCATATCCTTTTATACAGTCTATATACATAAAATAAACTAATTTTTTTCCTCTCTCTCTCTCTCTCTCTCTCTATATATATATATATATATACATATATATAAAATCATACTCTAGACATAATTTAAATTTTTACTCATAGCCTAATGTGAATGTGTTTTCATATCAATAAATCTGGAGATATTGAATCATTATAAGGACTTTAAAATAATCTCCTATATATATATGTGTGTGTGTGTGTGTGTGTATGTATATATATATATATGTGTATGTATATATACACACACATATACATATATATATATGTATATATAATCTCTTGTATATATATCATAACTAAGTGATGGACACTTAGGTTATCTCTAGTTTTTCACTATTTTAAGTAGTGCTTAATGAACCTATATGTGTACACATTTGAATTATATGAGTGGTAATAAATTAGTGAGTGGAAACTTCTGGGAGGAAGGTAAACATGTTTAACTTTTCCACTTAATATTGAAGGAGAATGTATCTCCTGCTTTGCTGAATGCATTGGGAAGATAGTGGAGTGGAAGATGCCTAACTTTAAAGGAAAGAAACAAAACACGTTCCACCAAAAGTAAAAATCTACCTGAAATCAGTGATAGAATTTTTGAGGCTTCTGAACATCATTTTGTGGGTTTTTAAAAACTTTTGTTTGCTATGGAGTCTTGTAGTCCCAGTGTGTAACAAACTTCTGTGTATTAAAAAAATGCATTAGAGTTGAATCAAAACTGTAAATTTAGTGAAGGCAGCAAGAAACAGGAAAGATCTTGTTGGAGTAGAATAAAGCACAACCTACTTCATTCTATCTGCATCTCCAAATGAGTCTGTGGAACACATCCTGAAGCCAGTTCTGTGTGATAGGTTGTATCACATATCCTCATATCCTCTATGAGGCTGCTTCATAAATATTTTATTCCCATGCCTCTGCTGAAAAAAAATAGTAGCATTTAATGTACCTATTTACTTATCTCTTTCCTCTGCCTCACATTAGCTAAATATCCTGAAAAGGTGAGAAAAAGAAGTTGAAGTTCTAGGGTTGAGAATACAGGTTCTGGAGTCTCTACTAGTAAGGATAGTGTTAAAGTAGGCTGCCATAGCAACAGCAACAATAAAACCACAACATTGCTGGAGTCTTGGGAGGATGATCACATCAAAGATTTATTTCTTGCTTTCAGAGGATCTGATGCACATTCCATGGTGCCTTACGCACCTCTGTTTTAGTTACTTTTTTGTTGCTGAGACAAAATGCTCAATATTCACAAGTTAAAGGAGAAAAGGTTTGTTTTAGCTCATGGTTTGTAGAGGTTTCAGCCCATAGTTGGCTGGGTCCCAGGCAGGATGGCCTGTCACAAGGACCTTGAAGAGGAGAAACAGTCTATGGCAGGCAGAAGGCAGTGAAGCAGCAGCAGCCTGCCTTCTATCATTCCCTTTATATTCCATCCAGACTACAAGGCTATTGGTTGATGTCGTCCACACTCAGGGTGGGCCTTCCATTATTCACACCCAGAACTATGCCAAACCAATTTAACCTTGTACAACCAATTACTACACACCCTTAATCCCAGTATCACACATACTAGATCCAGCCACCTCTGTAAAGCCTCACCTATGAGTGCATGAGGCTTTGACGGGGATACATCTAGGTGGGACATCTAGATACAAGCCATACAAGATCTTTTCCATGTGGTGTCTTACAGATCCAGTCTCTCTCTCTGTTTTGAGACCATGCCACATCAACTCATAATTTTCAGGGTTGATACTCTTAAATTCAGAAGAGACATACATCATTGTCATTTGCCCATAATTTATTCTGCATACAGTCAATTGACCATTCGACCTTCCATGCTTCTGGAGGCTGGGAAATACTGGGGAGCACACAGGGCATTTAGTGAGCAACACTGTCTAGTGTAGTCAGATCTGCTACCAATTCATACATTATTCTTTGCACTAGTGTTTGGACCTGAAAAGTTTGGTAAGGATTCTCTGCCATTCTTTTCTCCTTCGTAAAATGAGGTCAAAGACTTCTTTCATGTAGTGTTGATTAATATGTGTGAAGACATGGAACATGTTCTCAAGAAAAATGTGATAGCTACTAGTATTCATGGCAGCTGCCCTGGGAAATAAATATAATCACCAGTCAGGACAGTTGGTAAAAAAAATTCAAAGAACACTTTCAAAGTAAAGCAGCCCTGGAAGAGGGAGTCCAGTCCTCTGATCAGAAGTTTAGAGTACTTGAACAGGTAGATTTGTTTATACTTTTTTTAAAAATTGAGTTTATTGGTACATTTCAGGTGTATAGTACAGTTACATTCATCATTGGGATCTTGTACCTTTACACGACAGGTCTTGGTTCTCATTTTTTCCCCTTGTCCCTGCCCTCCCTTCACCCCCTACTCCCCTCCCCATTTACAAACACTTTATTTCCATTTTTTCATTTTCTCATATTTTTTTCTTTTCCCTTATTCCCTTTCCCCTACCCTTCCCACTTTCCCTACACCTTTAGCCCTTTTCTTCCTATTTCACATGGTCAATTATTTCATTAGGATCTTATATGCTATTATACTTTTTCACACCATGCTTTTACTTCTTTAAAGAAGGAGAATTTTTCTGCCCTGGGCCATGGGCCTAAGAGAAATGGGCATATGCAAAATGTCTCTTGGTTCCTGGCTCTCTCATCTTTTATTTCAGGGTCCACTTTTTTCCCATTTAGTTTATTGCTACATTTAAAGCAAATAGTACAGTTGCATTCATCATTGGGATCTTGTACCTCTACATGACAGATCTTGGTTCTCAGTTTTCCCCATCCCCCTGCCCTCCCTTCACTCCCTTCACCCCTCTCTATTTACAAAGACTTTGTTTCCATTTTTCACATATTTTTCTGTTCCCTTATTTTCTTCCCCCTTCCCTTTCCACTTCCCCTCTAGCCATTTTCTTCCTATTTCACACTATCAGTTATACCATTTGAACCTTCTTTACAATTTTAGTTTGGGCCCACGTCTGACATTGGGACTTGCCCTTGGGTATGGGGAGCTCATGAAGTCTTACCTCTCTGGTTTGCCTGACTCATCTTTCCTCTTCATTCTTGGGACTGCTTGTTTTTCTCATTTGGGGGCTCTTCAAAACTTTGGGTGTGCTTTCTCAGCTGGCTCTTGCCTCAAGGAGCCCTGTGGCCCAGTGGAGCCCTGGACACCTGTGCAGCTTAATCCAGGTCTGTTCCTTAATCTTAGTCTGTTCCTTCATCTGCAGGGGTGGTGGTGGGAGGAGTGACGCCAGTGAGGCGTGGTGATGGAGAGCGAATGCCAGGCCGCTTCTGATCCAGTTCTGTTCGTTACTGACTGCTGAAACAACCTTAGGCAAGACACTTAGCATCTTGGTGCTTCAATTTTCTTATTTGAAAAACAGGAGTAATAATAATAGTGCCAGTGCTGTGGGGTTGTTGTGAAGATTAAATGAATATTAAAATGGTAAAAGAGCTAAGAACCTTTCCTGGTATATCATAGATGCTTAATAATTATCTTGTATTTTTATTTATTATTTAGAATCATGGTGCCCTGAGAGCCCAAGAAAGAAAGTGCTTAACTTGGCCAGCCACAAAAAGCTCCACAGCAATGCGAATACTTAGAGATTTGATCAAAGCCAGAGGCTGGCTTGGAGGGAAGGCAACCTAAAAAGAGAGAAAGGCTGATACAAAGGCTCAGATTGTGACATGAAACAGGAAGGGCATCTGAAGTGCTCGAGCTCTGGATGAATGGTGGGGTGGAAATGTGAGAAGCTGTGAAGCTGGACAAGGGAGACGAAGGAAAGTTGGGAAGGGCTTGGATGCAAACCAGTAAGTTGTTACTCCATTTTTAGGCAGGGGAAACTAATCTAGATTTTTTGTTTTTGAGACAGGGTCTCACTATGTAGTTGAGGTTGACCTGGAACTCACTATGTAGCCCAGGCTTGTTTTGAACTCATAGCTATCCTCCTGCCTCATCCTCCCCAGTGCTGGGATTACAGGTGTGTGCCTCCACGCCCAGCTATTAATCTAGATCTTTAGGCAAAGTGACTCTGATCCTCTTGGTCAGGTCCCAGTGA